TCTCGCTGGAGTCACTTCCTCAGGGCTCAGAATGTGGGGGCCCGGGAAGTGGCTGTCAGGAGCCCCGTGGCGGGGCTGCAGAGACAAGCCCTCCTCCTCCACGCCTCTAGCCTGAGAGTCCAGCCGGGCCAGGACCCCCCACGGCCTCCGCGGCTCACTCCCAGCACAGTCCAAGCTACAAGCCGGCAACTTGGGGGGGGGGTTGTTTGTTTTTTAGACGTATTTATTTGCGCATACAGAACTGGGGTACAGGCCAGAGGTGCAGAGACGGTGACAGGATTCCCCAGAGACAGAGTGGGGAGCAGCACAGGTGGATGGACTGAAATCCGCTGCTGAGGGGCAGGGGGCAGGAGCGGGCTGCCCCGCCCTGGGGTCCCTCCCTGGCCGGGGATGGAACTCGCCTGCGGCTTCCCGGGCTGCTCTTTCACCTGCTGCGTCACCGTCACCGTCACCGGAGGGCCCTGTTAGGGTTAGGGTTAGGGTTAGGGTTAGGGTTAGGGTTAGGGTTAGGGTTAGGGTTAGGGTTAGGGTTAGGGTTAGGGTTAGGGTTAGGGTGTGTGGCCCCGGGGGGAGGGGCGTGTCTGGTTAGGTTCCTGGCTGAGCGCCCAGCCGCTGTCCCCAAGAGGAGCGTACAGCACTGGCTGTGCGGAAGGGAGCGAGCGCGGCCGCGGGGCGGGAGGCAGAGCCGGCGGGGCCCGCAGACTCCTCCGCGCCCGTAAACCCGAGGCGGGGGGCGGCCGAGAGAAGCAGCGCTGAGTCGTGCCGCGTGGTCACCGCGGCAGAGGCGCTCGGCAGAAGACAGCATGTCCTCCAGGGGGGACACTGAGGGGCAAGCGGGCCAGCGGCCAATACACGGGTGTGATGGGCTGTCGGGGACCGGCCCCGATCACGGATTACTGGGGGGCAAAACAGGCAGAGTCGGCGAGCGGAGATTCCTAAGGGGAAAAGGAAGACACGGGAGTCGGAGTTGGGTGCAAGTCTTCCTGCTCATCTTTTTGCAGGTCTTTATCTACACAGTTTAGCAAGATTTAGCTACAATAATGCATCAGGTGAATTAATAAGTAGTCAGCATAAAAGTTCTAAAGGAAGAGGGGAACAGTGCCTCCTCCCCCTGCTACTTTATGGCACATGAGACTGTACAGCTTCGTGATGGCTTTCATGTATGCAGATGTTGAACTTCAAAGGATCAGGGCCTGGGAAAGGACGAGCTGTTAGCAAGGGATGTAGGAGGCCTAGGGAAGGAATCAATTGTGTTAGCAGAGTCGTCAGTGATAGTCTGAAGAGAAGCTCATGGCTGACTTAAGGTTAGCAGAGAGTAGCCAGTGTTTGTTTTAGGAAAAGGCTAATTAAGACCAGCAGAGAGTAGTGGGTGATTGTTTTGGGAAAAGAGTAAATTGAGAGGAAGTCACACAGTTATGCATTAAGCAAAACCTGTGTTGATAATGTCAGGAAATTATCCATGGCTCCTTATGCCCTGGGAGTTATCTAAGATTCGCTTTTTGTCAAAGACCAAGGAAGCTTTCCAGGAGTCTTGATGCTCCGGGTCTTCTCTCTCCAGGAGCTGGCCTTTTGTCTTCAGACAGAGGAATTTCCTGCCCTGGAGCAGCTCAGCTTGTACTTTGCCCAGGCCAGGTAGCCAATTTAGAGCTCAGGCAACCCAGTTACAAACGGATGTTGCTACAATATTTTTGATATTATGATTATACAGAAAAAGGGAGTCATAACATGAGTCAGCAGTGGAAGCTCCGATTTTTCAGAGCGTTTCCTCTCCTCCTGGATTGTGTCAGTTGACAGAAGTTGCATAGCTTGTGTCACTGGGCCAGCCAGCTCTCCCTCTTGGCTCCCCGGGGCCGTGGCGAGCCTGGCACGGCGGCATCGCAGAGGAACCTGGGGAAAGAGCAACTGAGAGGAGTCAGGGCCAGGGCCGCCGGGTAAAAGCAGGAGTGAGGGACGCCCAGAACCCACCTGAGCGACGGCAGGCTCACCAGAGAGGAAGATGCTTCTCTCCGAAACTCCCAGGAGCCCACCAACCCCCTGCAGATAAAACACCTGTGCAGGTCAGAGACCCCATCTTGAAGCCCAGCTGGAAAACCAGCACAGGGCCCTCCTGGTGGCACAGCGGGTTGAAGCACAGCACGGCTCGCCGGCCGCAGCCCCTCCAGTGCCAGTTCGATCCCCGCCAGGGGGTGACCCCCAGGGCGCGGCAGACCTCTCCTGATTCCCTGCTGCTCCCCTCAGCCGTGTGCTTCGTCAGTCGGCCTGTTCTGTTCCTCGCTCTGTCTCTGGGGAGTCCTGTCACTGCCCCTGCACCTCTGGCCTGTACCCCGGTTCTGTGTGTGTGCATAAATCGATAAATAAATATTTTCTTTAAAAAAGGAAAAACAGCACAGCAGAAGACAGGCTGGTGCTGACTTGTGTAAATCCATACCTGCGCCAGCCCCACACAGTGAAAACTAGGAGGAAAAGAAACAGCCCTGAGCCAAAGCCTGAGGGCAAGGCCAGGCTGCCACCCTGACGTCTTAGGCCGCAGCTGGAAAGCACATCCCCAGGGGAGTCTGCCTGAGTCTCCCCAATCCCTCCCCACCTCCTGCTAGAGATGCAGTAGCTCCTCCCAGACCAGCAGGCGAACCACAGACTGGAAAATCCTTAATCTGACCGAGGCTACAAATAAACCAACCAGCCCCAGCCGCCCACACCCCCACCCTGCCCGGGGCCCCCAGTTCCAGCAACCTGAATCCCTTCCGCCCCATCCCGTTCGGAGGGAAGCCGCAGGGGGGTGGGGGAGCACTCCCCTCTCCCAGGATGAAGGGCCCCCCCTCAGGCCCCCAGCTCGCTCGCCCAGGCCACGCGTGCGGGGGCGGCTGCGCAGGTCCCGTCCCAGAAGCCTCCGTCTGGGAAGCCTTGGCCGCGGCACCTCACACCAGACGCGCAGATACCCGAGATCTCTCGTCAAACATCCTCTGAGGACGTGCCTTCTCCCGGCAAAGCCGACAGGCAGAAGTTTGTTTTCAAGCAGAATTTAATTCATGGCTGTGTTTGCGTAAGCCTCTAAGGTAGGCACTTCAGAATCCAGATTTGGTCCTGACAGGAACACAGCCCCGGCTCCTGGTGAGTAAGGTCAGCTCTGCTGCCTGCACCTCATGGAGAAACCTCAAAGGCGGGGCTCCCGGGGCGCAGCGGGTGGGGCGCAGCGCTGCAAGCCGGCCACGGCCGCCTCAGTGGGCTCCATCCCGGCCTGGGAGTGACCCCCAGGGCGCGGCAGGCCTCTCCTGGCCCACCCGCTGCCCCCTCAGCAGTGGACTTCGTCCATCCGCCTGTTCTGCTCCCCGCTCTGTCTCTGGTGAAGCCTCACACCCCCTGCACCTCTGGCCTGGACCCCAGTTTTGTATGTACAAATAAATCAATCTTAAAAAAAAAAAAAGTAACTTTTAAAAAAAAACCTCAAAGGTCGATGGAACCACACAGCTGTTAGGCGCAGCGCCAGGTCCATAGGCTCATTCTTCAAGTTCACCAGAACAGCCACGGAGGTCAGCCCCGGCGCCCCAGGCCCTCTGCCGCCCACTGACCAGAGCTAAGTCTCCAGGGCCACCGCGTGGCAGGCTGACCTGGCAGGGCACAGCCTGCCTGGCCCGCGCCTCCCTACTCTGGAGCCAGGTCTGAGGCGCCCCGAGGCAGGAGAATGAATGAACAACAGCTAACAATGAAACTTTCACAGAGCAAATACAGGTTGTGCTTCTGAGGGTTCTCATCCAAAACTATCTGTCCCTAGGCCTCACCACACGGAGGACAGGCCTTCCGGGCTCCTGCAGAAGTCTGCACCGCAGACAGCCACGGCGGGAAGGGGCACACCTGCCCACGCAGCGGCTCCACCGGAGAAAGGCTGGCTGCACACACAGCCTGCAGCCACCACCCACACCAGTGCAGAGAGCCGAGGGGCCGAGGGCAGCCGGGCGGCCAGCAAGGGGCAGAGCGGGGCACTGGTCAGTCGGGCGCCCAGCAAGGGGCAGAGCGGGG